TACAATCACAATGTACAGGAGGAAAAACTTGTACAACAATGACACTCCTGAAAAAGCTTTGAACTTTGGATTTACTACTTAGGTTACATCGTCAATTGCTGGCCGATAAGTTTTTTTATGTTTTGGCAATTATATTACAGATGATAAATCACTTTACAGATAAAGTTATCGTTGTGAAACGAATCAATTGGTTGTGTCATGAACCTGAGGTGAATCATAACCCTTTTAAAGACTAAAATTATTATGGTTATATAGATTTTGTGTCTGATTCTCTTTAAAGACTGAAATTATTAAGGTTATAGAGTTTTTTTTGTCTAATTTTGAATTGATCACTGTTTATGATTTGTAAGTGTAATTTTTTATGCATCAATGTGAATAACTTTTCAGTAACGTGGTCTCACTGATATAACCTTTCAGTCAAACCACTTTAAGCACTTTTTTGCAAAATAAAATAGTTAAATATTGTTATATAAAAATATTATAACGGATTATAATAAAATACCACTTGAAACATAATTAAACAGAACACTTAGGGTCAGTTTGGTAACGTTTACGTTTTCAGCTTATATTTACACAAATTTTATAAATTGATTTTTTGTTTATTTTTTGTTTATTTTTAGAAAAACATAAACTACAAACGCATTTAATAATTGACAAAATGTTTAAAAAAATTTAAAAATATAAAAAATAGTGAGAAATGGCAAGTGGTGGCAAGTTACAGCGGAAGTTTTTTTTAGGTGTTCCTGATTTTTCTTCCCAAATGAATGGAACAGACACTGATTGTCTGATTTGCTTTAGGTTTTGATGCACCACCGAGAGTGAGTTCTCAATCGCTGTGAGTTAAAATTTAGAAGTCCATAGCCATATATTCTCAAGTGGATTAGAAACATTTTCTACTAAACCTCCTACATGTGGCGGTTGGTGGTGGGTGGATGGGTGACGGTGGTGGGTGGTAGGTGGTAGCGAGTGGGTGGTGGTGGGTGGTGGATGGTGGTGGCAGGTGGTGGATGGTAGTGGTAGGTGGGTGGTGAGTGATGGTGGCAAGTAGGTGGCGGGTAGTGGTGGCGGGCGGTGGATAGTAGTGGCGGGTGGTGGGTGGTGGTGGGTGGATGGTAGGTAGGTGGTGGTAGCGAGGGGTAGGTGGTGGTAGTGAGTGGGTGGCAGGTAGGTGGTGGCTGGTGGTGGCTAGTGGGTGGTGGTGGTGGTGGTGGCGGAAGACGGTGGTGGAAAATGGTGGCGGGTGGTGGCTAGCGTTGGGTGGTAAAAAAAAAAAAAAACTCAAAACTCAAAACAGAAACACATTTTTTGAGTTTATATTTCTTGGCCAAATTTATAAACTAAGACCACTGATTTATAAATCAAAAATTTACTAAACAATTTTTTATTTGAATTTTTAAAATTTTTGTAAATATAAACAGAAAACTGAAAACGTAAGTGTTACCAAACAGCACCTTATTAATCAATCTTATTAACTAAACTTATTTACTTACGGGTTCTGATTGATAAATTTATTACTGTAAATTTATTTACAAAAACAAGAGAGACTAATAAATTTATCACTTGATAAATTTATCAATAAAACTTAATGGATGATAAGTCCCAAAAGTAGAACTTATTGGTAAAGACCTGATGCACGACTTTAGGCATAACAAAAAACATAAGGAATTAGCGATCACCTTTTCTATTGCTAACCAAAATAATACATCATAAGTGATAACTAATTCATAATTTGTGTATTATACATTTTTTATTATATTTAATCTTTTTCACCTACAGAAAAAATATATATATTGATACAAGTAGAATATATGGTTTTTGGTAGATTTATTAACATGAATGAGGATTTGATATCAGATTGAGAATACACCTTCTTCTTCTTCTTTTTTAATTTTGAATGAAATTATCTTTATGAGTATTTTATATAGGACCACACATAGTGACAAATTTTCAACACTTATTAGCAAATCTGTTTGTATTTGATTTTTAATTATTAAGATTTTTTACACATAAAATATTAAGACTCAAAATTAATTTTTCGCACGGGTCACCTATTAGTTCAACATATTATGTGATTGATGAATATTAATAATAAATTTTTAAAAATTAATTATAAAACTATTAAAGGACAAGTCATATTTTATGTGGCATGTTCATAAAAATAAGAATATTTAAAGGATGTATAGTAAAACTAGAGAATATAATGTACATATTTGTAAAATGGCAAGACTAATACCAATTAAAGGTAAGTTGAGAGACAACATGTTATAATTATTATAAATAACTTTTAGGCACATTTAAAAATTTAAAAAAAAATTGTAAAAAAAGAAAAACTTGGAATTATATTTGAGTTTGAAAACCATAACAAGTGTAATCTTTGATACAAAATAATACTGAAAAAGGATTCATATATTAGTTTAATATGATGTGTATCTATTGCCATGAGATATTTTTAGACGCGTCAGGATCCTCTGGAGTAGAAATTCTGCAGTGATCTCCTAAAGTAAAAAAAAAATTGTAAAAAAAGAAAAACTTGGAATTATATTTGAGTTTGAAAACCATAACAAGTGTAATCTTTGATACAAAATAATACTGAAAAATGATTCATATATTAGTTTAATATGATGTGTATCTATTGCCATGAGATATTTGTAGACATGAGTAATTGCATTATATGAATGGCACAATAAAAGAGGCTGCACACCAACCCTCCATTGCCCATGTGATCTCTTAGAGATCTCAACAATGAAATTTTATACCTATGTCAGTTATGATAATGGCCTCCTGTTAGGAATATCGAATTTTTTATTAAATAAATAATTGAATATTTTATGAAAATATCTTATATTTAAGTGAAGTATTTAATTATTTGTTTGATAAAAAATTTAAAATTTATAATATTTTTATATATAATTTGTGATAAAAATTTATTATAATGTTAATTATAATTTATTTATTTATTATTAAGTTTTATTAAGAATACATTAAATGGTATTTATTAACTCTACTATTATAGAAAGTATAAAATCGTAATAAATGTACAATATTATAATAATTACTTTTTTTTTACGAGACTAAAATATCATTTTGTGCATTTTTTTTTATTTTATCTTTTATTTATTTATTATTATTTATGAGAGGGAGATTTACGCCGGACAAGTACGGTCGAGCTACTGTAACGCAAGTTATAACGGACCTTGCGAGAGCCGGACTATTTTGCTCGGTCGGAGTGGTTCCCCGGCCCGTTACGCCGGGCCGAGCTAGATTTGTCGACCGGAGCGTGGAGTCATGCGTGTGCCAGGCCGAGCTGTGATTCAGCTAGGCATTCGGTTGGATCCGCAATGGTGCGTCTGGACCGAGCCAAGCATGGCCCGAAATGAATTTAGACCGGGGCGAAGGCCTGTACGCCTCATGGCCAGTCAGTTTAGAAGGACCGACTTCTTACAGCTCGGCCGTATTGATCATGGTTGTGTTTCTTCCCAAGGGATAAGTTGGTCATGATATCCCGGTTGGGTGTGCCACCTGGACCAATGATGTGATGGAGGGGAAATCTACTCCTGGCACGCGTCAATACCGTTTGGCAGTTCCACACATGTTGTTTGGAGGTTTTAGCCCTGATACGCGTAGGGTAGTGAGAGGGGAGCACTGCTACCTGTCCAGGGAAGGACAGCAGAGGTAGTGCGCGCACAATCCCTGAGGCTGCATGGCCAGCCCAGAAAAAGGAAGAATGGGGGATGTTGGAGGTAAGCAATCTGAACAATTCTCTCTCTCTAAAAAAAAGTGCTCTCTTCTTCTTCTTCAAGGGTCTGACTTGATCGTCGGAGGGTCTATCCGGCAACACACCGCCGGGCAGCTCACCATTTCTCTGTTTCCAGGTCAGGTGTCGTTACGTGAAGCTTGAGTTCAAGGAGTACGGAAAGCAAAGGATATTTTACCCCCCGTACAATTGGCGCCGTTTGTGGGAAAACTTTGATACACAAACCTTGCTCTTCAAGCTTTTTCGACCGTGTCCATGGCTAACAACGATGAAACTCCACTGTCCGTCATCGATGGTGTCATGCCAGAGTTTGTTCGACAGAGAGAAGGCCCCCCTGCTATTCCAGCCATAGCGGGCTTGGAGACCTTTTCGAGAGGTGCGCGAGACAAAAGCGCAAGGAGTATTGATCGCTCGAAGAGTCCGGAGGGCCGTCGACAACGGAGGAAGTAGCATGCACAGCGCCTGGAGCACAAACTTAAAGACCAGGACGTCCTCATTCGCAAGATGGCGGCTGAAATTGAGGTGCTGAAACGCCAGATCAAGGGGAAGGGTGTTACTGGAGAGGGCGGCCTCAATGAGCGCACCCCGTCTCCTTGTTCTGGCAGTCGCCGCCAAGAAAGAATGCACTCTCTCTATCACCAGAAGCTATGGGGTCAGGGACTCCAACCCACAGGTGGGGAAATCTCACACTCGCGATAGCACCTACCGTCTCTCACGCCCATCGTCGACATCGCAATACTCATTTTCCGCCCGTTCGGGAGACCTGAGGGATGTGTTGGAGGAGAGGGCTCGCCGTAGGGAGACTCAGAGATTACCGGCATTGCAGAGGCTAAGCTCCCAGACCCGTTGTAATGAGGAAGTGGTAATGTCAGCACCTAGAGTGGTGGCCCCAGCGCTTGTGGACAAAGAGCTAGTGAGACTTACAACTACACCACTGTCTCCAGAAATCGAGAGTACACCACTCCCTGCCGGATTCCACCAGCCTAAGTTCACGTTGTACGACGGCAGAACGGATCCGTACATGCACGTGATTCATTACTGGCAAGTAATGGCTGGGCACCGGCGCAATGACGCCTTGATGTGCCTCATATTCCGAGCAAGTTTAGGAGAGCTGGGCTTGAAATGATTCGAAAGGCTTCCGGAGGGGAGTATCGAGGGATGACAGCAACTAGCGGAGGCCTTCGTCACCAGATTCAAAACCAACAGTTGAACGCCAAAGGAGGTCGACCATCTCCTAGGCGTGAAGATGGAGTCTGGAGGTTCGCTGAAGGCGTACAATGCGAAGTACTGGGAAACTTACAATGAGATCCTTGACTGCCCTACCAATCTGGCGATTACTCAATACAAGCGTGGTCTCCCAGTCGGACATAGGCTACGAGATTCGCTTACAATGCACCAGCCCACAACCATGGAGTCCTTAATGCAACAGATCAATGAACACATCCTTGTGGAGGATGATGCTGCTTCAGCAGCTGATAAGGCTAATCCGGTCGCGGCGGACAGAAGAATGGCGGGGAAGGTTCACTTGGTGGGGCAGGAGGACAACCGCCCAAACAACCGGTCAAAAGATCAACGTCGTGGCTCAAACCGCGATGATAGAAGCAAAGGTCGCAGAAACGACCGAGCTAACGCTCCTCGCGATGAAGAGGAAAATGCCAAGAGAAAATTAAAAGTGTGAACCGGTATCACCACGGTCTTTAAAATCCCTATTTACCGCATCCTGAGTGAAATCCGAGGTGAACCTTTCGTTCGTTAGCCAGTCAAGTTGGGGAATACACAGAGGGGCTTCAACTCAAGATATCGCTGCACCTTCCATGAAAAACAGGGGCACTGGACGGAGGACTGCTTGCCGCTCAAACAACATTTGGAGGGGCTGGTGGCGGCGGGACATCTGGACCAATACATAAATGAGGGTATGAAAGCCACTCCACTGGGACAAACCGAGCCAAACGGCCTAGCCGCCCTGGACGCAGCGCCACAAGGCGTAATCAATGTCGTTCATGGCATCATTGAACTGGCACGGGTCTGCGAGCTGAGAGAGATGATCAAGAAAGCCGAGCACATAAGGGAGGTGCTCTCCGTTCAACCCGCTGTGAAGAAAGGAAAGACTGAAGAAAAAGATATCCTTACCTTTTCAAGTAAGGACTTAGAGAGAATTCAAGTGCCCTACAATGACGCCCTAGTAGTGACTCTTCGCGTCAAAGACTTCGACATCAAAAGAATTTTGATTGACCAGGGGAGTTCAGTTGAAATCATGTATTATGACACGTTCAAACAAATGAAGTTGGAAGACAAGGACTTAGCCCATGCAACGTCTCCTTTGGTTGGCTTCAACTCTCAACCAAAATGGCCAATAGGAAAGACCATATTACCGGTCAAAGCGGGTTCAGTCATGAAGCAAGTAGAGTTCTGGGTGCTTAAGGTCTCATCCACCTACAACTTAATCTTGGGCAGGGGCTGGTTGCATGCCATGCAAGTAGTAGCGTCGACCTACCATCAGGTTATGCGCTTCCTGGCACCAACCGGGCAGGTAAAAGAGGTTTGGGGAGACCAGGTAATGGCAAAACAGTGCTTTGTTATGGTGAACGGCAGCTGAGCCGCCAAAGGCTTCGTTCAAATGATAGAGGGCCCGGAGGGAAAGGAAGTCCTAGAAGATGTAGGAAAAAAGGCCGAGGAGAAATCAGTCGAAGATTTGGTGGAGGTGCGCATCAACGAGAACGATCCAACTAAGTTCTTTCTTTTGGGATCATCCTTGTCCAGCGCCGAGCGACTCGAATATGTCGATTTCTTGGTTTCCAACATAGAAGCTTTTGCATGGATGCCTTATGATATGTCTGGCGTCGATCCTAGCTTCATTTTCCATCAGTTGAACGTCTTCCCAAATGCACGGCCGGTCATCCAGAGGACAAAACGCTCGGCTTTGCACCATGCCGAGATAGTAGCGAAGGAGGTCAAGAACCTGCTAGAAGCAAATGCGATAGAAGAAGTACAATACCCAAGGTGGATCTCTAACACGGTAGTAGTGCCGAAGAAAAATGGTAAATAGCAGGTGTGCGTTGATTACAAGACAGTCAACCATGCGTGCCCAAAGGATAGCTTTCCCCTCCTAAGAATTGGCCAGCTGGTAAACTTAACCGTTGGCCACCAGAGGTTTAGCTTCCTGGATGCGTATCGGGGCTACCACCAGTTAGCTATGTATGAACTAGACCGAGAAATCATTTTATTCATCACTCCAAGAGGCCTGTATTGTTACAAAGTCATGCCGTTCGGACTGAAAAACGCCGGGGCAACTTTTTAGAGGATGGCAACCAAGATGTTCGCTTCCCTTCTGGGTCGCACCATGGAGGCTTACATCGATGATATGGTGGTAAAGAGCAAGGAAAAGTCTCAACACCTCGCCGACCTAGCAGAGATGTTTGCTACACTTAAACATCACAAGCTGCGTTTAAATGCCTCCAAGTGCGCCTTCAGAGTTGGCACTGGAAAGTTTCTGGATTTTTTGGTTACGAATTGGGGAATTAAAGTCGACCCTTCCCAAATCAAGGCGATACAAGAGCTGGAGCGCCCAAACTCCACGAAGGACGTGCAACATCTTGCCGGGATGGCAGCTGCGCTAAACAGATTTATAAGCCGGTCTTCAGATCGTTGCAGGCCCTTCTTCAAAACTTTGAAGGCCAAGTTCTTCTGGGATGACAAATGTGACCGTGCGCTAGTGGATCTGAAAGTATACCTTTCCACAGCACCTATCCTAGTGACACCGTGACCGGGCGAAGAACTGTATCTCTACTTGGCGGTCTCTCAACATGCGGTGAGCGCCGTCCTAGTCCGTGCTGAAGGTACCCAACACCTTCCCATCTTCTACGTAAGCAAGACCTTGCTCCCGGTTGAATCAAGATATCTGCCGCTAGAAAAATTGGCCCTGGCCTTGGCCCTGATGATGGCTTCCAGAAAACTGGCGCACTATTTTCATGCCCACACAATAGTTGTGCTAACTGAGTTTCCACTTAAGGTGCTCTTTGAAAAGGCAGACTTTACCAGGAGAATTTTGAAATGGGCCGTAGAATTGGGGCAATACGGCATCAAGTTCCAACCGCGTACCGCAATCAAAGCTCAAGCTCTTACTGACTTTGTGGCAGAATTTGTCCCTAGAATGCATCATGTTTGCCCGGTTGATTTAGCTAGCGCGGATTTGGTGCAGCCCATGGTTCAGGCAACTGGGAGAAGGGGCGAATCACAAATAGAAGAAGGGTAAATGGAAGCCGACATGAAAAGAGACCAGAATGAACCGACTAGTACCTTAGAGTTGAGGAGCTCCTAAAACCCATCCGACTGCTGGAAGTTGTTTATCGGCGAAATATGGAAGCTATTCGTCGACGGGGCCTCCAACAGACATGGCGCCGGGCTGGGTATCGTGCTGACTTCCCCGAACGGGCTGGTTATTGAGCAAGCAGTTACGCTCGGCTTCCCGGCGTCCAACAATGAGGCGGAATATGAGGCCCTCCTTACCGGATTGAGAAGTGCATTAAGAATGAAATCGTCAGCCCTTGTGGTATTCAGCGACTCCAAGCTGGTGGTTAATCAGGTCTCTGAGGAGTACGAAGCCAGGGATGAAAGAATGGCCAAATATCAGGCACTGGTATGCGCAGAAATCAAAAAGTTCGCCGCAATAAGAGTGGAACAAATCAACCGCGAAGAAAACAACACAGCTGACAAACTGGCCAGCCTTGCATCCATGTAAACAACTTTCCCCAATCCTTTGATGATAGAATTCCTACCTCGGCCAAGTATTGAGGAGCTAGAAGTGTCCGAAGTACTCTGTGCTGACTTGGGACCATCCTGGATGTACCCCATCATCTCCTTCCTAAAAGATAAAATCCTACCAGAAGAAAAGAAGGCGGCCAACAAAATCTGGGCTGAATCAGAGCAGTTTTGGCTCTCTCCATCTGGGGCCTTATACAAGAAGTCTTTTACTAGGCCGTACCTGAAGTGCGTCCACCCCGACAAGGTGGAAGTTTTCCTCTATGAGATTTATGAAAGCATCTGCGGGAGTCATATTGGAGGAAGGTCTTTGGCTTACTGAGCAATTTCCTAAGGTTATTGGTGGCCGTGCATGTAGGCGGACGCGCAGAAATACGTTCACAGGTGTGAAAAATATCAAAAATTGGCTCACCAAATCCACCGGCCGGCCAGAGAGCTGCTCTCCCTTACAAGTCCTTGGTCGTTCGCGCTTTGGGGGTTGGATATTGTGGGACCACTCCCAACAGCTCCGGGAAATCGTAAGTTTTTCATCGCTACTACCGACTACTTCACTAAGTGGGTTGAGGTCGAACCGTTGGCAACCATAAAGGAAAAAGATGTGAAGAGGTTTGTTTAACAAAATGTCATCACTCGCTTCGGTATACCGAAGGCCCTCATCTCAGATAATGGCACCCAATTTGATGGGAAACTTTTTCGCAGATTTTGCGAGGAGTTAAAGATTGAGTTCTACAACTCAACACCGGCCTACCCTCAGTCAAACGGTCAAGCAGAAGCCTCAAACAAGACCATCCTGGACGGGCTGAAGAAACGGCTAGAGAAGGCCAAAGGGAAGTGGGCTGAAGAACTCCCCAATGTGCTCTGGGCATACCACACCACGCCAAGACGCTCGATCGGGGAAACACCATTTGCCTTGGCCTATGGCATGGAGGTCGTCATTCCACTGGAAATCGGCACGCCAACCATCCGATCTGAGAGTTTTCAGCCGGGCTTGAACAATAAAACAGTGGCCTTGGAACTTGGCCTAGCTGAAGAAAGAAGGGAACGGGCTCTGATTCACATAGCAGCCTATCAACAAGAACTCTCCAAAAAATACAACAAGGCTGTGCATCCAAGGCTATTCAAGATCGGGGACTGGGTCTTGAGAAAGGTGATGGGCAACACGGTAATCCCTGGCGAAGGCAAGCTTGGTGCAAATTGGGAAGGTCCGTATAAGGTGACGCGCCTAGCAGGCAAAAGGGCATACCATCTGGAAGACTTAGATGGTAAAGCTATCCCCAGACCATGGAATGCAGCTAATCTTAAGATTTTTTACTTTTGAAATGTAATCGTTTTTATTCCTTAGCCTTTTGAACCTTTAGCCTTTTGGCATTTGATATAAATCACTGACATGTAATGAAAGATAGCCCTACTTTTTTCTTATATTATGTGTTCATGTACAATGACATCACAAGGATATTGGGCCACTATGGATGCCAGGGGCAAGGAGACCAACTTGCACTAGGCCAAGCTGATTTTTCCTCGCCGGTGTGGAGACAGGTCGTACAAACAGTTGGTTTTCTGCCCAACTTGCATAAGGGCCGAGCTGATTTTTCCTCGCCCAAAATGAAATGTTGGTGTTTTGCCCAACTTATAAGGGCCGAGCTGATTTTGCGCACCCAAGTGAAATGTTGGCGTTTTGCCCAACTTATAAGGGCCGAGCTGATTTTGCGCGCCCAAGTAAAATGTTGGCATTTTACCCAAATTGCAAAGGGCCGAGCTGACTTTGCTCGCCCGTGTAAAATGTTGGCGTTTTGTCAAACTTGCAAAAGGGCCTGTAAACAACCCATTTTTGACCGTCCTCGAGACTTTGTTGTGCTTGCAGGTACACCCAACAACTAGTTCGATTGCTCGCTGAGTACTCGACTGTCGCGGCGGAACATCATCGGTTCGAGCTTCCCGGACCCTATATCCTTTCTGCTCTTTTTTTGGACCTTGACTAGGTCCTGTCAGAGTAGAACTTTTGGTGCACTGCCGGCCATGGCATGTCACTGCCAGCCATTGCCTTGTTCCTGCCAGCCACTGGTGAAGCCCTGCCGGCCATCAGTGAGCCACTACCGGCCATTGCTGATGGCCGGCACCCCCCCTATCTTAGCTGGTTTTCCTCCAGATCTTTTGAGCCAGCTGGATTTTTGTTTGCTCCCCTCCATACACGTGTATGGAGGGATGGAGGTCTTGCAAAGCTTCTTGAAGAAGCTTTGGCTTTTCATTCCTCTATATAAGGAAGAAACCTCTTCCTTAGCCAGAGGTTCTGGGTTTTGGAAGGGCAAAACCTCTCTTTCTCTCTATATTGCTTGAGTTTTGTGCTTAGAAATTGGATTTCCTTGCACTTTTACACTACAACACCTAGATATATACCACCACCATTGAACCAAGCTTCTTGGGAGGTCTTTTGAGGTCTGAAAGCAAGCTTCCACCCCCTGAAATTGCTGATTTCAAAGAGGGTCTTCAAGGGTAAGCATTTATCCCATTTTTGCACTTTCTTGCACCTTGCTTTAGCCCTCTTTGCATATTGATTTAGGCTTTGCTTATAACTGGAAAAAAGTCTTGTTTTTAAGTGCTTTTTAAGTTTGGTTAAGGTCACTTTGCTGTTTGGGGTGTGTAGCCCCCTTGCATGCTTTGTTTGGCTTTGTTTTAAGCCATATCTTGAGGCCTCCGAGCTAGCCTTGGTTTGGCCTTACTACCACTGAAATCCAATGGGATTTTGGTGGTAGAGGTGTGGTTTTGAGTTGTGTTCCTCTTTACTTGCATTTTTGGCCTTCCAAAGGACCATCCCTCCATGCATCTTTAAGGCTTGGTTCA